GACTTCTTATAGGCCTTTTGACTCTTACATCACAACATGTAAATTTAAAGAATTGTACAAATAATCTATTTTTAGGCCATTATTTAGAGATGAAACAAATGATTGTGACTGTTTCAGCAAGTAGCATTTTGTCAGCAAGGAAGAAAAATATGTGCATATTCACATATATTTATAATTGATTTGACTCCTATGTGGCCTAGAATTTTCTTTAACGATGGAAATATCCTATGTAGACACTGCCCAATACAGTAATCACCACACACATGTGGTTCTTGAGCACTGACGAGCTAAACATTCAATTTTATTTCATTTAAACTTATATGACTGAAGAACCCAAAAGACCCCAACTAGAAAAATTCCCTTTTAAAAGAGTCAGTCTCCCTAAAACAATTCCTTCCCCATACCCAGATCCACCCTAACCACCACTAACCGTTAGAATCTACCAGTAACCGCTAGAATCCACCCTAACTGTCAGAGCAACCTCCCTTAGATAAGAGCCAATCAGCTTGAAGGATTACCCCCACCACCACCACATTGCCTATAAAAAGGCCTGCGCACCTGCTTCCGGGGTCTCCATCTGCTTGGATGGTTGACCCACCGCATGCTGTGTAGAGGTCAATAAACGCTTCTGCTGATTGCATACGCAAGAGAGTTTTTCGTGGGGGACACGAAAACAGGCACAACATCTGGGGGCTCATCCGGGATCGTCCCCCGAATCCTCTCCTTGCGTCAAGCGTTTGATCTCCCGGCCGGTTTTTTTTTTTTTTTTTTTTTTTTTTTGTGGGTCTTGGTCTTTTTATTTCTGTTTCTGTGATTCGAATCAAACCTGCATAGGCCCGGTGGTCCAGGCAGATGTGCTAGTGAACGCACTCCGCCCAGGGAATCGGGGAGACATCCCGCGGTTCCCCTGTTCCTCGTTAGCCAGAAAGGAATGAAGCAGGTTGCTCCTATAAGCGGAGCCTCATAGAGGATACACCGCTGTTGCGATCCTTATGGATCCTGGCTACTCAAGTTTTGTCAAAGCCAGCTCGTCTCGTTACTGTCTTTACTGTCTGTCGAGTGAATGATTGGATGATTGTGGTCAGAGTGTAACTGAACACAGCCTGTGTCCGGTCTGTGCGGCTCCACGGCATCAGCTACGGAGTCTGATTGGGCCTCCACCTGCGGTTCCACGAATCTCTCATACGGCATAACGGTGATTCATCGCTTTGTTAGCGGTGACCAGGGCTGGGATTTATACGGCTACACCTTAGCCAAGAGAGAGTTGAAACACCCCGTGAGGGGCGTGGCCAGGAAGGCGCCTGAGTGAATACCACTGTCCGTTACCCGACCTCAACCCTATGTTTTCCCCATGGTCTGTGTATTATGTCATGCTATATGGAGAAGATGGAATTAATCTTAACTATGTATTTGATGTACAGTCATGTTGCTTGGCTGACAAATTCCTTCAGAAACAGGGAATAGATGAGGAGAATGTGCAGTTTCTATTTCTCCGCCACAAAGCTGGATGGTGTAGTTTTGAAACCTGAACCCGATGACCTTTGCTGTGTCAAGTGGAAAGAAAATGGCTATTATCAGGCCATAGTCACCCGGTTAGATGACAAAAATGTAGATGTGTTCATGGTTGACCGAGGAAATTCAGAAAATGTAGACTGGTGTGAGTCAGGATGTTGCTTCCTTAGTTTAGGTGATTACCAATACTGGCTCTGAAATGCACTCTTGCTGATATTTGGCCTTTGGGGAAAAGTTGGAGCCAGGAGGCCATTTCCATTTTTTTTTTTTTTTTTGAAAAAAAAAAAAAGACTTATGTTCCACAAAGAACTAGTTATCCATGCCCTTGATAGGCAGGCTCATCAATATGTTATTGAGATTCTTGATGAATCCAAGACAGGGGAAGGAAACATCAGTAAGGTAATTGCTCAAACTGGACACGCTAAGCATCAGGAATTTGAAACCAAGAACAGCATCCCAGTAAGTGTCCATTCCCTGGGGCATGTTTCCAACCATTTTACTACAGAGACTAGCAAAGTATCTCCTATCAAGAAGGTAGACATAGACCAGAAAGCAAAGACAGATGATACAACTACAGAAGTGATGACTAGCACCGCAGTTGTTAGAACTAGACTTGTTTTGCAGGACAAAGAAAAAAAAGAGCATCTGTTTATACTTCACTCTCACAGAAGTTCTTAAAAATTAAGTCAGGCTCTTGTAAAAGTGAGCTAGAAGTTGGAAGTACAGTAGAAGTCAAAGTGTCTTATGTTGAAAATCCTGGCTATTTCTGGTGCCAGCTGACTAGGAACATACAAGTGCTTAGAACTCTGATGGGCAATATTCAAGACTATTGCAAAAATACAGCTACCCCTTATCAGGGAACCACCCCAGTTTGTTTGGCAAAACGAACAGTTAATGGAAAATGGTCCAGGGCTCTGATTAGCGGAGCAGAATCTGCAGAGCATGTCAAAGTCATATCTGTAGATTACAGAGACAGAGATATGTTATCTGTGAAGAATATCTATTCAATTAGTGAAGAGTTTCTTAACGTTAAGGTTCAGGTTTTTAGGTGCAGTCTTTACAATTTAATTCAACCAACTGGTCAGAATCCCTTTGTTTGGGATGAAAAGGCAATAGAAGCTTTTAGTGAGTTTATAGATAATGTATGGGAAGGGAATCTAGAGTTAAAATGCATGGTATTTGCTATGGCATCCATACATGATGAAGAACTGTTCCATATCGTGGACTTGCTAACACCTTTCAGAGTGCATGCCATACTTTGGTAAAAAAAGGGACTTGCAAGACCTGTAAAACTTCAGAAGCATCTGCAACCGTCTGTTCAGCTACATTCATACTATTATTCTACACATGATGTGAAAATTGGGAGTGAGGAATCAGTGTATGTAACACATGTTGAGGACCCACGGACATTTTATTGTCAACTGGCAAGAAACGTGAACATATTAGAGCAGTTGTCATGTCATGTTACACAATTCAGTCAAGTTTTGCTGAATTCAAAAACATTTCCCTTGATCTGGGGAAATCTGTACCTTGCAAAATATACTGATGGAAACTGGTACAGGGGGATAGTAATGGAAAAAGAACCAAGTAAAATTTCCTTTGTCGATTTTGGGAATGTTTCTGTAAGTAGCAAATGAGGATCTGCTGCCCACACCCAATGATGCATCTGATGTTTTACTTTTGCCTATGCAAGCCATTAAGTGTGCATTATCTGCTATTCCTGATCACATACCAAAAGAAGTCACCATTTGGTTTCAGGAGACTGTTTTAGATAACCCATTAAAGGCATTGGTTGTAGCAAAAGATCCAGATGGAAGGTTCATTAAAGAACTATACAATGGTACTACCCAAATTAATGCTAATATTAATGAGCTGTTAGGGCTACTTGGTGACAGAGACATGGCAAGCAAAAAGGAAGAAGCACTCCTCTCTACAAATGAAATTCTTGAAGAAAGTGAAAATATGAAGCTGGTACCTACAAAACATTTAAGAAAGTCAGTAGAGGACAAATTACACAGTATGGAGACATTGGAAGAATCCTGCATGCCTAATGTCAGCTTAGCACGTACAGAACCCAAACTTTTACAAAGTTCAGCAAAGATCAACTTCTTCACTCAATACCAGCACTCGGTGGGAGATAGGAATAATCCAATGCCTCCAGAAGGAATGTTTAAATTACCTTTGAAGACCACAAAACTAGAAACCCTTGCTTCTGAGAAAGGAAAACAAGAATGTAATAAAGATTTGCCTGTTACATTTTCCGAGTTCCCTCAGAAGACTATAATACCTGGCTTTACAACAGCTTTGTTTCTCACATAAATAACCTTTCAGACTTTTAAAAGATGCCTTCTTTAGCTTACCCTTAGCCAAAGCAAGCCAATCACTCTTTGCTTTTGAATGGACAGACCCAGAAAATGGATACCACGGGCAACTGACACGGACCAGACTCCCACAAGGAAGCCCTGCATGAAAACCTGAGTGAGTACCGTAGAGCTCAACCCCACATCAGCCTCTTGCAATATGTAGATGACCTGCTTATAGCCTTCGACACCCTGAGCGAGTGCTAAGAGGCCACAGAAGACCTTCTGAAGTCATTAGCAAAGCTTGGTTACCGAGTGTCTGCTAAGAAAGCCCAGCTTTGCCAACAAGAAGTGACATATCTTGGGTACGTACTCAAGGGGGGAAAGAGATGGCTGTCAGCCGCCAGAAAAGAAACTATCCTAAAAATCCCTCCGGCCTTCAAATCGCCGAGAAATAAGAGAATTTTTTTAGGGTCTGCCGGATTCTGTCAGTTATGGATCCCAAACTTTGCTAGCATAGCCCGCCCTCTTTAGAAGCAACCCGAGGAGGAAAAACTTCCTTTAATCTGGAATGATTCTATGGAAGAATCACTTAAGATGCTCAAATAAGCCTTACTCAGTTCACCCGCTTTGGCACTGCCAGTAACTAAACCGTTCCATCTTGTTTGTAGATGAACGGAAAGGAGTTGCAAAAGGTGTGCTTGCCCAAACTCTAGGCCCCTGGAAGCGTGCAGTGGCATACTTGTAGAAGAAATTAGATCCAGTTGCAGCAGGGTGGCCCCCTTGCCTCAGAATTATAGCAGCTACTGCATTATTGGTGAAAAATGCTGATAAACTGACTCTAGGTCAGACTCTTAAAATCATAACCCCACATGCTATTGAAAAAGTGCTACAGTCCCCTCCAGACAGATGGATGTCCAACGCCTGAGTGGTCCATTATCATGCTCTATTGCTCAATCCTCCAAGAACATAATTCACAGCAACGAGCGCCCTCAACCCAGCATGTACCCTGAAGCTGAAAACAACCGGTCAGCTGTCAGTTTGGCCTTCATGAACCAGTCTGCACCTGACATCCGGCGAGGTGGGCACAGTTTCCGGTCTTTCAGCTTTCGGCTTGTAGGAGGTGCAGGTGCAACTTTTCTTAAGTTGTCCTGCATCTGGGTTCATCCGACACCAGCCGCCTCCCCCATGCCTCCGAAGTTCGACCACAACAAGCTCAAAGTCGTGTACCTAAGATGCACCGGAGGGAAAGTAGGGGCAACGTCCGCTCTGGCCCCAAGATCGGCCCCCTGGGTTTGTCTCCAAAAAAGGTTGGTGATGACACTGCCAAGGCAACTGGTGACTGGAAGGGGTTAAGGATTACCGTTAAACTGACCATTCAGAACAGACAGGCCCAGATTGAGGTGGTGCCTTCTGCTTCTGACCTGATCATCAAAGTTCTCAAGGAACCACCCAGAGACAGAAAGAAGCAGAAAAATATTAAGCACAGTGGAAATATCAGTTTAGATGAGATCATCAGCATTGCCTGTCAGATGCGACACCAGTCTTTGGCCAGAGAACTCTCTGGGACTATTAAAGAGATCCTGGAGACTGCCCAGTCAGTGGGCTGCAACGATGATGGCCGACACCCTCATGACATCATAGATGAAATCAATAGTGGTGCTGTGGAAAGCCCATCTAGTTAAGAATTGCAAAGAAAAGCCAACATAATAACCCTGGGTGCCAAGAGAGAGGTAATAGGCCCAGAACTTATTTGGAAAGTGACTTTACCCAAATTAAACCTGGTATGTATGGATATAAATACCTTCTCGTATTATTCGTAAGATACCTTCTCAGGCTGGGTCAAAGCCTTCCCGAGAAACTGCCGCTGTAGTAGTAAAAAAGCTGCTTGAAGAAACTGTTCCGAGATACAGACAATTCGATCCTCTTAGGGTCAGATAACGGGCCTGCTTTCATCTCTCAGGTAACCCAAAAAGTAGTACAGACTTTGGGGACAAATTGGAAATTACATTGTGCATATCATCCCCAAAGCTCTGGTCAGGTATAAAGGATGAATCGGACACTTAAAGAGACCTTAACTAACTTAACCCTAGAGACTGGTGGAGACTGGGTAACCCTCTTGGTCCATGTGGCCTGGGCTTCCCTGACCCACGGGCCGTGTGCTGCTGTTGTCACTACTGGAGGAGTCTGTGGAGTCCTTGGAATGAGATGTAAGCTTGTATTGTTACTATAGATGATGGGTACAATGCTCCACCCTACTCACCAAGGGACCAACCGGAAGACCCATGTAACCGTGTAGATTGTAAGATGACAATCCCTCAAGGGATGGAGTGTTGGGTCAGAAGGGGGTGCAAGCCTGAAAGCGACATTATCAGGGACCCTCTCCTCCCAATGGGGAGCGGACTCAGTGGTTCTGCTGAAAACTGTAATACACTAAGTCACTGCTCTGCGTGTCACTATAGAGAATGATGTCATGTTCAACAAGACGCCTGCTTTGTTCTGTAGTAGCGTATTTGTCATGTGGAGCTTTCCATATGAGGGAGATAACGTGAGAGCTCTGAGACCAGAGACTTGCGAAGGGCAGGAGATATTTGCCGTCTCCCACCTGCCTCGAGTGTTCTTTCAGCTGCCTGACCCTGTGAGGCCGCTTGGTGTCCTACCATTGCACCCACCAGCAGAGCCGCACTTAGAAAGTCCTGCTTCTATGCCAATCCTGGAACCAACAGAACCTGGGCCAATGATTCAGCCCAGAAGGCACTTACTCAAGGGGGAATTGAAGAACCCAAAAGACCTCAACTAGAAAAATTCCCTTTTAAAAGTCAGTCTCCCTAAAGAAATTCCTTCCCCATACCCAAATCCAACCTAACCACCACTAACCGTTAGAATCTACCAGTAATTATTAGAATCCACCGTAACTGTCAAAACCTCTGACGTCAGCAACCACCCCTAGATAAGAGCCAATCAGAGCAACCTCGATTACATAAGAGCCAATCAGCTTGAAGGATACTCCTCCCCGCCCCCCACTGCCTATAAAAAGGCCTGCGTGCCTGCTTATGGGGTCTCCATCTGCTCGGATGGTTGACCTACCGCATGCTGTGTAGAGATCTATAAATGCTTCTGCTGACTGCATATGCAAGAGAGTTTTTCGTGGGGGACACGAAAACGGGCACAACAATGACCATCATATTGGACAGCACAGGTCTAGCCAGTTGAGGTTATTGGAAGTTAATCTGGGTTAGAAATGCAAGATGATTATTAATTTCCTTTAGTTTGAAGATCTAGCTTGTCTTTTAAAAGTGTTAATCTACTTTAATTTTTGATGCTTTTTAAAAGGACTACTTTTGCCTCTTAATATTTTATCATGAGGGGGCGAGTAATAATTCTGAACTCTATCCTCAACAGATGTTAATCAGAGCATTCTGTAAACCACTCACATTTATAGCAGTCAGTAGAGGGTTGCTTCAACGTAAACTCTGAGTAGATTAACAGATGAAAAGAGTAGGAAAATGGGAAATCACTTTCATTGAACTTTAATTCTATTTTTTTAATACTTAAAAATATAAATAAAATTTAGTATTTTTATTATTTGAATAATTGTAGAATTTTAATCCATGCCAAGATATATATTATAGTTAAATGAAAACTATATACGTTAAATGAAAATTATTTGAAAAGAGGGGAATTGTGGGCTTTCATACAACTTGACTATGCATCTTTTATGTAAATTTTATTTAAATAAAATCAGTATTTTGTTCAAAAACCCTGTCTGGGTGTTACAAATAAACAAATGAAAAAAATAAAATGCAAAGGTAATGACCATCAACAGCTGTAACCCTTTTCTACAGGAACGGGTACACGCTGCTACTATCCAAGCCATCCCAGCTTAGCGCTGGTGGCGTTTAGATCCGAGAGACGTCAGGGGCGGCGCGGCTCCCGAGTGTCACCGGGAAACAGCTCCCGCTGCTTCCCACCACTCAGAACAAACCCAAATAAACTCACAGGCGCCCCCACTCGGCCTATGACATTAGACGGAGGACAAATACGCAGCTTGACAGTCATCCCCCGGCGGAGCTGTGACTCAGCCGGCTCTCCAGGCCCTCACTCGGTCCATCAGCACCCTGCTCCGCCCGCCCCGGCCGGCCCTCGGCCGCTCTCCGCAGCCCCCCACTCCCGCTGGCCCCGGGGCTGGGAGGGCGGCAGGCCCGCAGCCCCAGCTGGACCCGCATCCTCTCGCCGCAGCCCGCCAAGCTCCAGGAACGTCGGAGCCAAGTCAGTAGGGAGCGGTTGCCAGGACGCTCCACCGAGGCCCGCCGCCCGGGCGCCGTTACCTTCGTTCTTGCCCAGGATTCGGCAGCATAGGTTCTGCAGCAGAACGTTCGGCGATTTCTGGTCCGGGGCCGCCATCCTCGCCCCGGCACTGCAGATGGAAGTGGCCAGGGAACGGGAGGGAGGCGGGCTGGCCCAGGTGGGCAGTCCCCACTAGTGACCCGCTAGCGCTAGCCCGCCTTCCCCAAGCCTGAGGGCGCTCCTGGGGCTCCGCCGTGATCCTGCCGCCGCTGCGCACAGAGACCCGCCTACCGGCTGCAGCCAGCAGCCCACTGTCAGCGTGGCGCACTCGGGTCCTCCGCGTCCTTCCCTGACAGGCTAAGCAACAGAGACCGCGGGTGAAAACGGCGCCATTTTAACAGAACCCGCCGAAATTGCGGGCCAACCCCCACAATGCCTTTCTTCTTCCCACCCCCTTCGTTATTTCTAGTTGCAACGGCTTAAAAGTTCCCCTCTCCCTTCACCAGACGTTTCCCCCCACCACTACCGTGCAGGCCAGAAAAGTTCCGCTGAATAAATTGCTCCCACCTACTGCTCCTGGAGGAGTCTTGGTGTGGCGCTGTGGGTTAATGCGTCAGTCTGCAAAGCCGTTTTAACTGCAAGGTCGGTGGTTCAAGCTCAGCAGCTGCTCTTCGGAAACCCTATACAGGGTCGCTATGGGTCGAAACCGACTCGACGGCACTTCACAACAACAACAACAATTGCTCCTGGAGTCCTGGTATGGCGCTGGGGGTTAATGCGCCAGACTGAATAGCAGTTTGAACTGCTAGGTCGGTGGTTCAAGCTCACCAGCTGCTCTTCGGAAACCCTATACAGGGTCGCTATGGGTCGAAACCGACTCGACGGCACTTCACAACAACAACAACAATTGCTCCTGGAGTCCTGGTATGGCGCTGGGGGTTAATGCGCCAGACTGAATAGCAGTTTGAACTGCTAGGTCGGTGGTTCAAGCTCACCAGCTGCTCCTCGGAAACCCTATACAGGGTCGCTGTGAGTCAGAACCGACTGATGGCACACCACCACCATCTTACCTAGACGGAGCCCTGGTAGCACAGTTGGCTGCTAACCGCAAGGTCACATGTTCAAACCCAGACACTCAGCAGGTAGAAAGACAAGGCTGTCCCCATAAAGTTTTACATTCTCAGTCACGAATTGGAATAGACTCTATAAAAGTGTGGTTGATTTGGGCTCTATAGTACGTAGTGCTGTGCTTATGTCATTGTTGTCAGGTGCTATTGAGCCGGTACTGACCCACAGCGACCTTATGCACAGCAGAATGAAACACTGCCCGATCCTGGGCCAACCTCACTACTGTTGCCACACTTGAGTCCATCGATGGTGCCACTTAGCCAATGCATCTCATTGGGGGTCTTCCTCTTTTTCTCCAACCCTCCACCTGACCAAACATGATCTCCTCCAGCGACTGGTCCCTCCTGACAATGTGTCCAAAGTATGAGAGACAAAGTTTGGCTGTGCTTATCGTGAGAGCTTTTTACAACTACAGGAATGAGTCAGAAATCATCCACACTTCGGCTATACAATTTATTTTAATCAACTTTTAGAAAAGACAAATACATCATTTTTTAACTATCTCTTTGCTTTTTAACACACTCTATTCATCTGTCAACAAGCTTCCCTATTCCCTTTTTTAAAAATGTTTTAGGCTGAGCTGCAAGCCACAAATGCACCACTGTCTTTGCTTCTTCTTCAGAGGTGAATCTTTGTCCTCGAAGGGCTGCTTTCAGGAGACCAAACAGGTCAAAGTCCCATAGAGCAAGGATGCTTTAACACCTCAACACTAAGTTTTCGCAAATTGTCAACAGTGTAGACAGAGATGTGTGGATGTGCATTGTCATGCAAGATCACAATGCCCTTGGAGAGCAGTCCTATAGGATTAATGTGAAATTCAGGCTTCGGCTCTTCAGGGAGCATCTCACTGTCATTAGCACTGTTGTGTGTTGAACCTTTTTCCTGATAGTGTTCCAGCACTGGTCCTTGAGAATATCAGAACGCTGTAAGCATCCATTTTCCAACTGATGGCTGAGTTTTACACCTTTTCTTGGGCAACAGTTGAGGACATTTCCACTTAATAGTCTGCCGTTTACTCTCAGGGATCGGTTTGATTCTTGATGAGAGGGAGATTCCCAGTGCCCTGAGACTCTTGTAGGAACAACAGGACCGACTTTGTCAGAAAACTGTGCATAGGTGAGGCCTCCTGGAAGGATCCTTGAAGAAAAGTCATATATGTGCCCAGAAGAGAGTCTACCTTTGGATGCTTGCCACAGAGATGCGATTGATGGCCACTCAGGATCAGTCCGAAGATGGGTAACTGGTATTGCTGTTGTTGTTGTTGTTGTTAAGTGCCATCTTCAGCGAGACCCTGTCTAGGGTTTCTGAGGAGCAGCTGTTGGGTTTGAGCCGCTTCCAAGTGGATCGGACATAGAAGTTTGAATTGAATTATGCAGGAGGTAAAAAAAACAAAACAAAACCCTGAAAATGACCAAAAGGTCCCAAAATTTTATTGAGATGTTATTAAAGACTGAGAAATAGGATAGTAGCGTAGTGGTTATGAATCAGGCTGTAAACTGCAAGGTCAGCAGTTCGAAATTACCAGCTGTTCCGCGGGAGAAAGATGAGACTTTCTGCTCCCATAAAGATTTACAGCCTCAGAAATCCTGTACATGGTTGCTATGGGTTGGAATCGACTCAACGGCACATAACAACAACCACCTAGCCTAAGCCATGGTGTTTTCAATAACCTCATATGCATGTGAAAGCTGGATAGTAAATAAGGAAGACTGTAGAAAAATTGATGCTTTTGAGTTGCGGTGTTGGAGGAGAATATTCAAAGTGCCATGGGCTGCCAAATGAACCAATAGATCCATTTTGGAAGAAGTGCAACCACAGTGTTCCTTGGAGGCCAGGATGGCCAAACTTCATCGCTCATGCTTTGGACATATTGTCAGGAGGGACCAGTCACTAGAGAAGGACATCATGTTTGGTAAGTTGGAGGGTCAGAGAAAAAGAGGAGGATCCCCAACGAAATGGATTGGCCAGGTAGCAGCATTGTTGGACTCAAGCATGACAACAGTAGTGAGGTTGGCCCAGGATCGGGCAGTGTTTCGTTCTGCTGTGCATAAGGTCGCTATGGGTCGGTACTGACTCGATGGCACCTAACAACACCAAACCTAGCCTAAAGGGTTTTTGGTTCTTCAATAGGCTACCAGTATGGCAAATTTTTAAACTGACAAAAATTAAAACAGTTGAGGTTTTACCCCACTAGGATTTTTGCTGTTTAGTGCCGTCCGGTCATTTCTCACTTGTAGCAACCCTGTACAGGGTTTCTGAGGAGTGGTAGGTTAAAGCTCATCAGTTGACCTTGAGGTTAGCAGTCCAGTTTTTGTCCTACAGTGCCACACCAGGGCTCCACTAAGATCAGACTGCTTAAAAACAGATTGCATGTATTGTAGGATAAGAAGCAACTATGTAGTAATGTTTGATGTATCTTGCCCCTAATCAGAAGGAAACCTGTTGATGCAGTAGTTAAGAGCTTGGCTGCTAACCAAAAGTGTTAGCAATTCACACCCATCAGCCCCTCCATGGGAACAAGATGTAGCAGTTCGGTTCTGCAAAGCTTGACAGCCTTGGAAATCCTATGAGGTAATTCTAGTAAACCTTTCCTCCCAGAATTCATACTCTTTTGTAATCACTTAGACCTTAAGGGCGGGTCTCGAGGCTTGCCGGAACTAGTAGAATGTGGTGAAAGGATGCTTGGCCAGTGCCCACCTTGAGCCATAAGGCGCATGGCAGTTTCTTGGTTTGCACTCTTGAAGACTGCTGAGCCACCCTATCGACAGTCCAGCTACCAAATAGAAAAGACCATGTAGAGAGACCACATGCAAAGGGGAATTTATACTGCAGTGATATTAAATGAGAAAGAGAGATTCCCTTATCTCAGTATTCCAGCTGAATCAGCCCTACATTCTGCAAAGCAAATCCAGCTGTCCACCTAGTCCAGCCCAGCTTGCAGAATTGTTAGCATGCATAATTATGCTGTTCAGAATCACTCCCTTTTGGAAGGATTTGTTTCACAGCCATAGATAATTAATTGGTAATTAATGGATAATTAAATGATCTCTGCCTGATGGTGTTCAAAACAGTCCTCATAACACTTTGGTTAGGCATTGGGCAGCTAACCACAAGGCTGGTGGTTCAAACCCACCAACCACTCGGTGGGAGAAAGATGAAGTTGTCTGCTTCTGTGACTAGTCACAGTCTTGGAACACCTATGTAGGGTGACTGTGAGTTGGAATCCACTCCACAGCAGTGGATTTAGAGTGCTACTTCATGAAGGGTATGTAGGTCATTGCCTATTTGCTCTCAACTTTGCTATATTGCAGAGAACTTATAACACAACCTCCCTGACAAACTGTCATCTTTGAAGATTCCACCAGTAGAAGTAACTGGTAGAAAACTGGAGGGCAACCAACAGGAGACAGTCAACCAACTGGAAAGCTGGAGATTCGCTGGGGGTGTACGCTATTCAAACTGCATGCTGAGCAAATAATCAGAGAAGCTTTATTGCAAGATGACACACCCTTGCCTGTTGAAAATGAAGACTTGAAGCACCTAAATTATACAGTTACAGGTCCCCAATGGAAGATAACCAAGATTAATCTTGAAATGTTCTTTTCAACAATGAATGCAATGCCAATCCTCTTGAATTTGTTGTTCTCAGCATAGTTGTTGTTGTTGTTGTCAGGTGCCATCGAGTCACAACCGACTCATAGCAACCCCATGCACAGCAGAATGAAACAATGTCCGATCCTGGGCCAACCTCACTACCGCTGCCACACTTGATGACATCAATGATGCCACCTGGCTGATCCATCTCTTTCGGGGTCTTCCTCTTTTTCTCTGACCCTCCATCTTACCCAGCATGACATCCTTCTCCAGCGACTGTTCCCTCCTGACAATATGTCCAAGGTATGAGAGATGAAGCTTAGCCATCTTGGCCTCCTCCAAGGAGCACTCTGGTTGCACTTCTTCCAAAACAGATCTGTTGGTTCTTTGGCAGT